CAATTTTAAAAATTTTGGGCATATTCTGATACAGTCATGTCACCCTGGACCAGGTGTGCAAACTCCATTTCTTTTAAATGTCAGAGATATTCTGGGAGGTACTCTGTATTGAACGCCATCAAGAATTGTTTCCAAGTGACTGGAACGAGCAAGGTGGCCTGCTTGTGTTGCCACCAGCGGCTTGCCTCTCCTACCAGCATGTAGGTGGCAAGTATGACTCTCTATTCGTGAATCACCCCAAGAGTCGTGATGACCTTCTTTGTCTCAGCTAACCAATACTCAGCCTCTTCAAAGGAGAATGCCCCTGCAAAAGTAGATGGATTTAGTCTTTTATATCTCTCAATGTAGTTTGGATCCATCATGTGAGGAACTGGGTCCCGTGGAAGAGGGATTGGATTATGCTGGGGATGGACTAGATGACCCTGTGGTGGTACTAGATGATACGGTGGAGACATCAAATTGTACTGTGGTGGTGACGGGTGATGCGGTCACCCGCCATTTTTTTTTCTCTGATTTGACCATAGGGGTGCTCAGAATCAAATTCCGAGCGGATAAGAAAATTTTTACATTTTTTAACAGTTAGAGGTGGCTCCGGCGCGGTAACTGGTGGCGGTCGGCTCCCTTCTCCCGCGCCTAGGGTTCATCGTGTATGATCTCGCGTTAATCTGAGCCGTTCATCGTGTTTGAACTCGATCGTCCAATCGCATTTAAAGAGAAAATAAATCTTGACCGTTCATCTTGATTTGATCTCGATCGTCAGATCGCGTTTAAAGAGGGAATGAAACTGAACCATTCATCGCATTTGATCGCGACCATCTAATTGCGCCTGAGGAGAGAACGTATCCGGACCGTCCACGCGCGCAGGAACGCTTCTGGATCGTCTAATCGCGGGGCACGTGGATCGTTAGCGTGGCCTCCTGCGTGGCACCGAATGAGCGTACCTTGTCACGCGACAAGCTCCGATTCGTCGAGACTGCTGACTGGGCAATTTTACGTGGCAAATTTTTTTTTAATTACGTTCTAACCCCCAATTTCTGATTTTTCTTTCAAAAATACCATCCGAACCCAAATTTTTACTTATTTTTTCCAAAATTATTTTCAATTTCATCCTCAACCTATTTTTTTCATAATTTTACATTAAATTAAAATTTATTAATTTTAAAATATATACATTTTTAGAATGTTAAAATTAATCTCGGTCCAAATTTTGAGGCCGGGTATTACATTAGTCGTATACACTAAAGATTGATTGGTCCAATTTATTTTATTAAAATATCAATAATAAATTTTAGTAGGTCTTTTAACTATTAAAATTTTAAATATTTTTATTATTTTAAGTAAATATTTTATCACAAATATGTGTATCTTTTATACTTTTAGGTTATATGCATGTATATGATGATAAATAATAATAAATACTGCTTTTGAATTTTGACTCATATAATGTGAGTATATCTAGTCTCCCAAGTGCATTGTAACTACTATTTTTCATTTGTTTAGATGTATATTAATTAACATAATTTACATTTTAATATATTTAATTAGTTTCTTATCATTTCAAAAGACATTTAGTTGGAAAAATAAATTAAAAGAAATTTTTTGGTAATTTAAATTTAAAATAAAATTATTCATTGTTTGTATAGTTTATTTTATTAACTTTATAAAATAATTTAATTAATCACCATTTATGTTTAAAAATTATTATATATAAATTAAGACAAATTAAATTAACTATATACAAATGATTGCATATATTAAATGATAAATTCTATGAATATGATTGATTTTATCATATTTTGATAATCATCTTAATTTTAAATAAAACTTTGAAATGAAATTGTTATTAATATGCAATTAGTATTGTCAAGTATTATTATATTAGTAGTTTTATTATTAATTATTATTATAATCACGTTAAAAAATGAAAAAGAAAAAAAAAAGGAAAAACTAAAAGAAAAAGAGAAAAAAAAAATCAAAATGAAAAAAGAACAAGGACTAAAAAGAAAATAAAAAAAATAAAAAGAAGTTCATCCTATAATAGAATGACTTCGCTTGACAATTATTTTTCTCTATTTTTTTTTCTTTTAAGTATAAATTTTATAAACACAATAAAAAATAAAATTTAGATAAAATTCAAAAATTGGACAAGTGCAATTTTTTGATGATGCAAAATAATAGCTTTTTGGGGGCAATATAAATAAATTCATATAGTGTTTGTTAGTCAAAGAAAAGAAAGAGGGATATCATAAATTAAGCATGTGGGTAAGGATGTAATTGTGACACAAATGCAGCAATACGGATTTTTATGAGTAAATATAGTTGTTACCTTTCACTCATCTATATCGAAATAAGTAATAATATCATATATTTATATAGTAATTTTCATACTTTTAATGAATTATATTATGTATCAATTATAACATATAATAAATTATTAAAACTTTCATAAAACATTTGAAATCTAAAAAGTCAGATAATGTTTTAAAGTCTAAAAAATTAAAGTCACAAAAGAAGTGTATTTCTATCTTATGTTCCCTTTGTATAAGATCTCATTGCCTCGACGATCTTTTGGTTTGGTCCTGCTTTCTCTATCCTGTAATTAGTAAAAAGAAATAAGTCACCACATATTTAGTAAGAATAATGTAGAACTCCAATTCGAAGATTGAAGTTAATATATTGATTCGACCAATTGCTTTTACTCCAAACTTACTATACCTTTCACACCCATATGATTTCCACACTTAATTACAACTACGTCAATCCATTAACCACATGTTTTTTCATAACTTAAAATTTTATAGTCACTTTAGATTAATTCACAAATCTCATAATACAAATATTGTAATCACATTAATTTTATATTTTTACATATATGATGTCATTCTTTAAACACAAAATCATGTAACAGTAAATCCCCCAAACACAACTAATATTCATATATATGTTTGGGTTATTTTATATGATACAGTTAGTCACAATCACAGAAATATTTGATAACTCACACTATCAACATAAACTTAGTCATAGTTACACAATTATATGTCACAGTTACTGTTATAGCTATAATTAGTGTCATAGTTACAGACATAGTTACAATTACAATTATTGTTATAATTAGATGGTACATGAGATAGAGTTTGTAATCTTACTTCATTGTGATGCTGGAATGCACATCTCTATAATAAAGAAAATCTTTACAATTATTCTCCAACGCCATCTATTATAATTTACTTTTTATAATATATTGATATTTCTACTTTATCTATCCTTATTCTACTCTTGCGCTGAGTCCTAATTCCTCATTTCTTCATGCATAACTTTTATTAACTTCCGAATTCAGAACTCATCAACTTCCAAGATATTTTACTCTATCTAAAATATTAAAAGATGGTTCATAATATTTAAACTCCAAAATATTCACTTCATGAATTATTTAAATTCTATATTAATTCATAGTTACCCACCAATTAATCACAACCCATCTATGATTTCTTAAATATCATATTAATCATTAAACCTAATCACATATCCAAATATTTGTTTAAGATATTATATTCATTAAAAGTGCTTCCTTTTATATATTTTACCTTTCAATGTTGTAATAAATTTCCTCAACCAATATTCTAGATCTCTACCCCATCTTAATCACTCTTGTTTCCAAACCCAGTACTATTCATTGCCCGGAATGTAATGACTGTTTGTTGGGCTGTAGACTAAGAGCTCAAATCAAATGTCCCTTAACCCTTTTTATCTCTACCATCTATTTTTCCTTAAAATTTGCTTCAGGTTCAACCCATGAGAGCCTTTGGATTTCTCTGGAATCCTTCTTATGGGCTTGGGCTGCCCGAAACAAGGCCTCATATCCTGTTGTTCTCTTTATTACAAGTACCCCTTTCGGCTGTGCCCAAGAGAGGGCTTTGATCGGCTCCCCGCAAAAACCAACCTATAAAATGTTATCTTCTAACTTCCATGCATTTGGATTAGGCTACGAGGTAACTTAAAGTGGGCACTCATTTAGAAACGAACATGATCTATTTTCTAACACAATCAATTTACATGAAGTAAGTAAGTAAAAGTTCATAAATGAAATTCAACAAAACAATTATAACATATAATACAAAATTGAGAGAGACAGAGAGAGAAAATGGTTAGATTCTGAAGTGCAAGACCAAAGCTGGCAAAGTGATTGGACAGAAGCCCGTGATTAGACTACTTGGGCCTATAGTTATAGTAACAATATATTTATACACACACACATATGTATATACATATAGGTAAACAATATAATATCCATATGTGTTATATGAAGTAAAATGTGTTGGAAGAGACGAATTATATATATATGCGGTAATGGAAAGAAGGTGATCGGGCTTGCTAAGAACGTTTGTCGAGGAATCTAATAAAGACAAAAAAAAGTGAAAATAAAATAAGGCAAAGAGCGAGGGACTTTGAATCTCTTTATATACCCCAAAAGACTTGTCAAAGACATACTTCTGATCACTGCAATTAGTTACAGAAGAAGGTGATGGCACCGGTGGGATTACCTCCCGGCTTTAGGTTTCATCCCACCGACGAAGAGCTCGTCAATTATTATCTCAAGAGAAAAATAAACGGTCTAGAAATTGAGCTCGACATTATTCCTGAGGTTGATCTTTACAAATGTGAGCCATGGGAGTTGGCAGGTTCTTCTTCTTCTTCTTCTTCTTATTCCCCTTCTTCTTCTTATTCTCCTCCTCCTCCTCCTTCTTCTTCTTTTTCTTCTCCTTCTTCTTCGGAGTTCTGTTATTTAATTCTTCTTTCACTCTCATATACATTTTTACGTAGATAAGATTGCCCATGCATGCAATGTCTACGACGTTAACCCATGCATATATTCTTCACATTGAACTGATACGTGATTTATATTAATGTGTCAGAGAAATCATTTTTGCCGAGTAGAGATCCGGAGTGGTACTTTTTTGGACCCAGAGATAGAAAATATCCAAATGGGTTTAGGACGAACAGAGCCACACGAGCAGGGTACTGGAAATCTACAGGAAAAGATCGTAGGGTGACATCCCAGAATCGACCCATTGGGATGAAGAAAACTTTGGTTTATTACAGAGGTCGGGCTCCTCAAGGGATTAGGACAGATTGGGTGATGCATGAATATCGTCTTGATGATAAAGACTGTGAGGATACCTCTGGAATCCAGGTAAAATCATATATATATAAACTGAGATAAACCTTCACCAACCAATTAATTCTGCTTCATCTATCAAACCCATATGATCTTAAACACCAATTTTAAAGCCTATAAAAATTATCGGTAATCTTCAATGAAAAATTTCATCTTACATGGGTTGAATATGAAGGTTTATCTCAGTTTTTATATACCTGTATAATAACCCTTTTTGGGTTCTGGAATTCTAGAATCATCATTGTCATCATACCTATGAAAGACTTGTTATTAATTTGCTGATTCTTTTTCCTACATATTATTACTTGCTTGCTTGATTTCTCATTTTGATTTTTCTTTGCTTCTGTACTTCTTTATTCGACTAATATTATGATTGAACAACTTCTGCTCTTATATTGTATTATTTGACGGTGGATTTTCAATTCTTAGTTTTCAAAGTAGGAACTTTCAAAACAGTCCTGGAAATCTAAAGAGAAACTCTAATACAGACCAATATTGAAGTTACAAGGTCATTTTACAAATTAATGTATTAAGTGATAGGATAAATAGAATTGAATTAAGTGTGAACAATGAGCTTAGGAGAATTCTTACCAAATGAAACTGAAACTTAAAAACAAATTGGTTATGAAAGCTAAAACCAGTCCTTTTTTCTAAATTTAGTTTATCAGTTTTATGCATATATATACACATTACTAATAATCTCTACCTCTCTTTATATATATATGCGTGTGTCTGTATATGTTTCCCATAATGTGAAAGTCATAGATACTAGTATTTACATTTAATTTTCTTCATGATATATAATTTATGATAGGCTAGCAAACTTGTGTTGTAAAGTGTAAATATTATAGCGTGGAATTCAAGAATATTAGACAAGCACATCCTTCATTTTAGTCATGTTTGTTGATCAGTTCACCCTTTATTTAATATTGTGGCTTCACAAACAAGAATGGATTTCTCATGTCTTACCAGCAAGTACTTTTAACTCCAAAAGTATAGAAAGCAAGCTAAAGCCTCATCATCATATGCTTTAAGCCAGAGCTAGACATTGATTTCCAGCATATCTATATATACATATATTACACACAGATCGTACTGCATGGAGTATGTGTGATTAGCAAAAAAATCCATAGTCAGGCATTGTAGGGACGTGCGCATGACTTGCATGTAAAGCATATAATATCTGCATACGTGCTTTTATCTTATTTTATTGTTATTATAATTATTATTATTGTTATCATAATATAAATGTAGATACAGATAATGAGTGACACAGACATATTCGTTGCTTGCTCTGGATTTCGCTTTGTCTTTTATCTATAATAGGACAAAAGTACTATTCCCATATGACTCAGTTCCTTCTCAAACCCTGTCATTATTTGCTTTTTCTTTTTATAAATTTTATTTTTAACAACTGGTTTTTCTTACCAACTTTTTAACATTCTGTGATCTAGCATAAGAGATTCTATGATACGATCAATAAATTCACTAATTATATGCTGAAAGCAGCTCCCCAATCGCTTTCTTTTGAGCTCTGATGGGATGGTGTCCCCCTCACTTTTTACTTTATTCCAAACACAGAAATATACCAATATATATATATATATATATATATATATGTCATGTTTCTGTTTACAGAGATATTGGTGTTCTTTTCGTTCTTTTTTACAATATTTTATATAATAAAATTAACCAATCACATTTATGGAATTTCTTAAGATGTGCCGATTTATCTGTATTTTTAGATAATTAATTATGATGCTTAAGTATGGTTCATTTGTATTTGTGGTTAGTTTTTAATTAAAAGATTTATTTTGCTTTTCTTCTATATAATTACCATATCGTATACTATATTAACCAATCTTCTGCTAATAATAAATTGTCTAAGTATAGCATTTCATTTAGACAATAAAAAGTCTACTTTTTTTTGTGTGTATATTTAGTGAATTAGCATGTATCGATATGAATTCACCGAGATTAATTTTTATAAAAAATTTTATCTGTAGTATTAATGAAACTGCTTTTAATCAAACGAAAAAAATATAAAGTTTATAAAAGTTTTTATTTGTAATATGAATGAACTGCTTTTAACCAAACGAAAAAAATGTGAAGTCCTCGAGATACCTACATCATAGCAACTAAAATGGATAGAAAATGATCACTTTATGATCTTGGTTTTATTAGCAATTAATTGAGAAGGATATCAAAAAATCTTTTGAAGATTAAATATTATTTTCCAATCTAGTTTCATGCATGCATTTATCTTGTTTTTAAGTATATATTTTGTTGTAATGATTGTTAATTCAATGGCAAAAAGAATATCTTTGATACCTAAAGTAAAATGAATGATACTGAAAATTATAATGCAGGATTCTTATGCGCTTTGTCGAGTGTTCAAAAAAAATGGAATTTGCTCCGACACAGAAGATCAACAGCAAGCACAATGTAGTTTGTTAATGATGGATAGTCCACAAGGCGTGATCAATAACAATAACAATAGTAATATTGAATATGAAACGACGTCCCCTGATGTTCCTATAGCATCATCGTCATACATAGACGAGGATGATAAAGATGATTCATGGATGCAATTCATCACAGACGATGCATGGTGTTCTTCTAGCACTGGATTAATGGGAGTTGAAGAAGTTTCTCAACACGTGGCTTTTACAAATTAATTGAAACTCAAAGTTTGATTAAAATCATCAATAACATAGGTTTTGCATTATCTATATATACATATATAAACAAATATTGTTACAATAAAGAAGTGGGAATATCATAAAAGTGGTGTTTGTAATATTGATTACATTTGGTTCTAATTAGTAGGTTAGTTATCACTAGCTAGTTTTGCTTCTTTTAACACTGGTTTGTTTGGAGGACTAGAGCCATTTTATCATATGGCTCCATGAGTTTTTACTCTCATTCTCTCTGTCTCTTTAGATCTAGAGGGTGATGATATTGGTGTAGTTGTGAAATAAAAAGAAATAATTTTTTTTTTAATTATTATTACCAATTATCTTTTACCTTTATTGATCCATTTCTTTCAACTCATGGTTTTTCTTCTCTCAACTGCTAACATCTAGCATCATTGGTAGAATACATCATTAAATTTTTGCATCACTCAATTAACATTGCTAATTTTAATGCATATTAACAAAAATAAATATGTAGCATGTTAAATCATTATGACTAATGGGACCTTAGAGGTCATTTATCCAAATAGAGAAGCACACATTACCTCATTCATAAGAAAGTATTTAATTTTGTCAAAATTTAATAATGTAACATCCCCAAAATGTAAAGTCTAAAATACCATCCATAAAGATTAATACAATAGATATGTAAAATTTGACTGTAATCTCTCCAAACCGTAAAAGTATAAAATACCATCCATTAATATTTATTCAGAAGATGCATAAATGTAAAATGTGATATTTTTCCATGACAGTCATGACGTAAATCTAAACATATATCCATTTCCAATCATCATAAACTAGTAGACCTTCTCCAACTTGTTACATACAGATAACTCATATATTAGCAACTAAATCCAGCCACTAACATTTACACTTTATAAGCTATTTCTACTCAACAAACCAAAAATAAAACTGAAATCTACAACATTCAGAATATTGCTAAGTCTGTGCACCATCCGGGTCATGTCTCGACTCCGAGAGTTCTTGTAGCGGCTCCTGTTTTACTACCTCTCTACAAAAATAAAAGGATGAGATAACATAACCAAATAAGAACAAACTCAAGCATAAAAATAAAAGCAATTAATTTTTCCCTCCAAATTTCCTCAATAATTGTTTGCACCTCAGTATTTCCCATGTTTTAATAACTCTTTTCTTTCCATTTCATAAAATTCTTCCTCTTTTAAGTACCCTTCACCCATTGGAACATCTTAACAACAATTCTCCATTCAGTCAGGTCTGTATCCTCCCTCTCACCATGCTAACCTGTCCCCTACACCCTGCTCATGTAATCCTGTCAGAGGCACTCTCTTTGTTTCCCTCTTCTCAATCTCTCTTTCTTCCTACAGTGACCAAGTCATCCTATCCCTGTTTCTTCTCAGCCTCTCCCTCCTCCTGCACTTATTTTACTATAGCAGACCCAGCAGGTCCGCTCTCCCTCTATTTTTTTCTTTTTAGTTTCTCCCTCTTCCTGCATTCATCCATCACAGGTAGCTGCACTCCCTTTTCTTTTATTTCCTTTACTCCCTTCAATGATTTTCCCCTTCAGACCGTACTCATTCCACAACAGTACAATTTTAATGCATTTTCGAATTATATATACATATACATAACCCTTCATCGAAGCGATAACACTTGGCTGACTGCACACACATATTCACAGCATCTCCGAATTCCTGGAATAACAAATCATCATATGTAGTCATTATTTATGCATTTAACACATACACACAAGCAATGCAGATTAATTTCCAAAATGTCATGTGGTTATTATGCACATGTGTACTCATCAAGTACTAATTAAAATTAGGATAAGATATCATATCATCTACAACTATATTATGTACAAACATTCAGCACAATTAAATTCAGTAAGAAAGGTAATGTTAACAGTCAACCACTTCACCCCTTTCATGCACTGGTTATCCATACCGAGAAGACATAACCAATATTCCCTTAGCTTCCCAGACGATTTTTCTTTATTAGGTTTGAGTTCTAATATTCTCTGTAACACCCGAACTCAAAAATTAAGTCCGGAATAAATTCTACGATTTTTCTTTATTAGGTTTGAGTTCTAATATTCTCTGTAACACCCGAACCCAAAAATTAAGTCCGGAATAAATTCTACATTAATAAAATACGTTAATATTTATTTTATTTTATTTTTGTGAAATTATTGAAAAAAATAGATTAGAGATGAAAATGAAAATAATTCTAAAAAATGGTGAAACTATGAAAAAAGAAGGGTATTTCTGAAAGAAAATTTAAAAACAGAAGATAAAATCATAAAAAGAAAAAATATGACTACGTAGGATGTCCACGTTAGCAGCAACGACGACTTAGAACACGCCTCATGGCAGACACGCTTGACACCGAGTCCACGCTGGAGGCTACGCGGGCTATCCGGGTGCCTGGGTGATCCGCGTGCTTGGGGGATCAAGCGGTCCAGATTGCATCCCGCGTGCACGAATGACCCGGATCTGTTTTCTCTTCAAATGCGATCGAACGAATGAAATTAATCGTGATTGACGATCCTGATTTGTCCACGTGATTGGCCTAAATAGGCAATGATCGGATGGTTACCCTCGCTCAACGTTGACTCGAACGAACAACCTGGATCGAATAGAGATGAGTATTTAAACTCCTCTTCGCAGGGAACCAAAACTCTACCCGACACAGGAGTGACCGGAGAAGAAGAAGAAGGGTAGTCAGGAAGTGAACCAGACGCCAAAGAAGGAGACTAACCACTGTCGTCACCGTACCGAAGCCACTGCCAATGCTGAAAATGTAAGATTTTCCTTCCATTCGCTCAGAATTTAATCCCGAATCTCCCTATGCCCATATTGAAGTTGAAAGGCCGACAGGTGAGCCCAAAAATATGAGTGAAAGTTGGCCGAGCCGCAGCGGCCGAAATCCAAAATTCTGATGACCCCCTTCCCGCTTCTTGTTTCCCACGATTTTTTGATGGTTGTGTTCCTTGTCATTTTCTGGTGCAGGTTAGTCGAAGGAGAACTCCGACCGTGAAAGACGAACGACGGAGCCACCGCACCCGGAGACCCCCTGCCGGTAGGGTTTTTGTTTTTGCCCTTTTTGACCAACAGAGGCCCCCTAACTTAGTTTTTCACAGGTTTTCATGCAAATCGGACAAAACTGGCCAGAAACAACAAGCCCGAGAGGAGCCGCTGCAGTGGGCGGCAAAGCCGGCGCTGGAACACGATGGTGGCGCCATGCCGGAACCCTAAATTGGTCGAAATTTTTTTTAAACGCCTATTTTAACCTTTTGGGGGTATTTTGGATTCGTGAAAAGTATTTTTAATTTTCACAGAAAAAATCCAGAAAATTGAGGAACCACCAGGAGGCGCAAAAAAAAATATGGTATTTCGAACACCGATCCGGGTGAGAATCCTTCACCTTTTTTTCTGTTATGGTAAATTGAAGTTTAATAACTAATAATCTTGTACTTTGCAAAAAATTAAAAAAATCTTAAAATTAATTGTAGGTCACCGGTGGAGCCGGAACTAGTTAGTATGTAATTGCTTATTTTATCTGCACTACTCATTTATTGCTAGGCTGTTCGATTTCCTTACCACATGCACTTTAATTTATCGGTTTAATTGAATTCTCATTTATTGATTGCCTAACCGTTTTTTTTCATATGTTGACTGATTTGAAATAAATTCTTTAATTATGTTTCTTAATTGTTAAGGTATAAATTTATATTGTCTACTTAAATGCCGATATATTGATCTATAAATATAAAATGAGGTATTGGTATGCGATTGGTGATGGTTTGATAATGCAGATCTATGTATAAAAGACTTACTAGTTACCATAGAAAATGGTGAATGGACCCGGTACATAAGAAAACCCTACCATAGACATTACCTCAGTTGTACAGGGCTGAAAAATCTCATACCAAAAGGGGTTGAGATATATAGTTCACCCTCATACCGGACGGTATTGAGGCGGTGACATGTTTGATGCCAATTACTGGACGAAGTATGAGAATGACCGGTTAATTGATAACATGGATACTGGGTCCACGCGTAGGGGGGATTCTTATGGACCCTCAGAGGTACTGGTAAATAGGTAAGAAGATAAGTTGTTATTATTGCTCATTGGGATATGAAATCACAATGTTATTCGGGTTATTATCTTCGTAGGTCAGTTTTAGAAACTCATAAGGGTAAATATGAAATAATGGTTTTTATGTTAAATGAATATATTTAAAAAGGTAAATGATTCCATTGGTTTTATAATTTTTTACCAACATTCAGTTCTCCGTATATGTGATCAGTGTGATATTTTTATTGGGCTAGTGTAGCTTATTCCCTTATTTAATCATTTCAGATCAAGAAAACCAAAATCCAGATCCTGAACAACAGGAGAATTGCGAATAAAGGTTACCAGGACCCCATCGGAGTTACCCAGTAGAGGTTAACCCCAAGCATTCCCTTTTAAATGAGTCCCTTTTTTTATCACTT